AAGCGAATGGAGCAGCAACTGGCGTCGCTCACCTCCGTCACATTCGACACCGATCTCTACGGCGGAAGCGACAAGGACTCGTACCTCACCTCCATCCCCGCCAACGAGGACGATGAAAACCTCGATGCTATGGATAACGAGGTTGCGCGCAAGCTCGCTTCCTACACCGCCCCCAAATCCCTCCTCAAGGACATGCCCTCCGCGCCGGAATCCGACGCCGACGTTGGCTTCCGGAAGCCCCAGCGCATTATCGACCGCGAGGATGACTACCGCCGCCGCCGCCTCAACCAGATCATATCGCCGGAGCGTCACGACCCCTTCGCCGCCGGGGAGAAGACGCCCGACCCTTCTGTTAGAACCTATGCTGACATCATGCGCGAGGAGGCCCTCAAGAGGGAGAAGGAGGAGACCTTGAAGGCCATTGCCAAGAAGAAGAAGGAGGAAGAGGAGGCTGCCAAGGCTGCACCGCCGCAACAGCAGCAGCAGCAGAAGAGGAGGAACCGGTGGGACCAGTCTCAGGATGAAGGCGGTGCTGCGGCGGCGAAGAAGGCTAAAACCTCCGACTGGGACATGCCGGACACCACGCCAGGTCGGTGGGACGCAACCCCGACGCCGGGGAGGGTCACTGATGCGACTCCGGGGAGGAGGAACCGTTGGGATGAAACTCCCACCCCTGGTAGAGTTGCGGATTCTGATGCAACTCCTGCGGGTGGTGCTACACCCGGTGCTACACCTGCTGGTATGACTTGGGATGCCACTCCTAAGCTTTCTGGGATGGCTACCCCAACTCCTAAGAGACAAAGGTCAAGGTGGGATGAAACGCCTGCTACAATGGGAAGTGCAACTCCATTGCCCGGTGCTACTCCTGCTGCTGCTTATACTCCTGGTGTTACTCCTGTAGGTGGAGTTGAACTAGCTACTCCAACCCCTGGGGCTCTCCAAGGCTCCATCACGCCGGAGCAGTACAATTTGTTGAGGTGGGAGAGGGATATTGAAGAGAGGAATCGCCCTTTGACTGATGAGGAGCTTGATGCTATGTTTCCTCAAGAGGGGTATAAGATTTTGGACCCCCCTGCTTCCTATGTGCCTATTAGGACCCCTGCGAGGAAGCTTCTCGCCACTCCTACACCGTTGGGGACCCCTCTTTATCAAATTCCTGAAGAGAATCGTGGGCAGCAGTTTGATGTTCCAAAGGAAGCGCCCGGTGGGTTGCCATTTATGAAACCTGAGGATTACCAGTACTTTGGGGCGCTGTTGAATGAGGAGAATGAAGAGGAATTGTCCCCGGATGAGCAGAAGGAAAGGAAGATTATGAAGCTTCTGCTTAAAGTGAAGAATGGCACACCGCCACAGAGGAAGACAGCATTGAGGCAGCTTACTGATAAGGCCCGGGAGTTTGGCGCGGGACCATTGTTTAACCGGATCCTGCCGTTGCTCATGCAGCCAACTCTGGAGGATCAAGAGAGGCATCTTTTGGTTAAGGTAATAGACAGGGTTTTGTATAAATTAGATGAATTGGTGCGGCCTTTTGTGCATAAGATTCTTGTTGTTATTGAACCCTTGTTGATTGATGAAGACTACTATGCCCGTGTGGAAGGGAGAGAAATAATATCTAATCTTAGTAAAGCTGCTGGGCTGGCTACTATGATTGCTGCTATGCGGCCTGATATAGATAACATCGATGAATATGTCAGGAACACTACTGCTAGGGCCTTTAGTGTTGTTGCATCTGCTCTTGGTATTCCTGCACTGTTGCCGTTCTTGAAGGCAGTTTGTCAGAGTAAGAAATCATGGCAAGCTCGGCATACAGGGATTAAGATTGTGCAGCAGATTGCCATTTTAATTGGATGTGCGGTGTTGCCACATCTGAGATCTCTTGTGGAAATTATAGAGCATGGTCTGAATGATGAGAATCAGAAGGTGAGAACGATCACTGCATTGTCTCTTGCAGCTCTTGCTGAGGCTGCTGCCCCTTATGGTATTGAAAGTTTTGACTCTGTCTTGAAGCCGCTATGGAAAGGTATTAGGCAACACCGTGGGAAGGTGTTGGCTGCATTTCTGAAGGCAATTGGGTTTATTATTCCATTGATGGAAGCCCTTTATGCCAGTTACTATACTAAGGAAGTCATGCTCATTCTAATTCGTGAATTCCAATCACCTGATGAAGAAATGAAGAAAATTGTTCTGAAAGTGGTGAAACAGTGTGTGAGCACTGAGGGTGTGGAAGCTGAATACATTAGAAATGATATCCTTCCTGAGTTTTTCAGGAATTTCTGGGTTAGGAGGATGGCTTTGGATAGAAGAAACTATAAGCAACTTGTGGAGACAACTGTTGAAATAGCAAACAAAGTTGGCGTTGCAGATATTGTTGGTAGAATTGTTGAGGATCTTAAAGATGAGAGTGAACCATATAGGCGAATGGTTATGGAAACTATTGAGAAGGTGGTCACTAACTTGGGCGCATCTGATATTGATGCAAGGCTGGAAGAGCTTTTGATCGATGGTATTCTGTATGCCTTCCAAGAGCAGACCAGTGATGATGCAAATGTAATGCTTAATGGGTTTGGCGCAGTTGTAAACTCACTTGGGCAGAGAGTCAAACCATATCTTCCTCAGATTTGTGGTACTATCAAGTGGCGATTGAACAACAAGAGTGCAAAGGTGAGACAGCAAGCAGCAGATCTCATTTCAAGGATTGCTGTTGTCATGAAGCAGTGCCATGAGGAACAATTGATGGGTCATCTTGGTGTTGTCTTATACGAGTATTTGGGAGAAGAGTATCCAGAAGTGTTGGGATCAATTTTGGGAGCTCTCAAGTCAATTGTCAATGTTATTGGTATGACAAAGATGACTCCACCTATTAAGGATTTACTTCCCAGGTTGACTCCTATTTTGAAAAATAGACATGAGAAGGTCCAAGAGAATTGTATTGACCTTGTAGGTAGGATTGCTGACCGTGGAGCTGAGTTTGTACCTGCAAGAGAATGGATGAGGATTTGTTTTGAGCTTCTTGAGATGCTTAAAGCACACAAAAAGGGAATCCGTAGGGCTACAGTTAACACTTTTGGTTATATTGCAAAAGCTATTGGACCACAAGATGTCCTGGCAACTCTATTAAATAATCTCAAGGTGCAGGAGAGGCAGAATCGTGTTTGCACAACTGTAGCCATTGCCATAGTTGCAGAAACATGTTCACCCTTCACAGTTTTACCAGCATTGATGAATGAGTATCGTGTGCCAGAGCTTAATGTGCAGAATGGTGTGCTTAAATCCCTCTCTTTCCTATTTGAGTACATTGGGGAAATGGGAAAGGACTACATTTATGCTGTGACTCCTCTGCTTGAAGATGCTCTTATGGATAGGGATTTAGTTCACAGGCAAACGGCTGCTTCTGCTGTGAAGCACATGGCACTAGGAGTGGCGGGTTTGGGATGTGAGGATGCGTTGGTCCATTTGCTGAACTATGTCTGGCCAAATATATTTGAAACTTCTCCACATGTTATTAATGCTGTGATGGAAGCCATTGAAGGGATGAGGGTAGCCTTGGGTGCTGCTATTGTTCTCAATTATTGTTTACAAGGGCTATTCCACCCTGCTCGGAAGGTTAGAGAGGTGTATTGGAAGATTTATAACTCACTCTATATTGGAGCTCAGGATGCTCTTGTAGCAGCATACCCTGCCTTGGAGGATGAGCAGAGCAATGTATACAGTAGACCAGAGTTAATGATGTTCATTTAGAACTTTTGGGGTTGTTGTGTATTGATTTCATGCTTTATCACTATAAATATACCTTTTTTAGCTATTCTAAGTTTCGTCTATGATCTAATATATTTTATATTACTTTATTTCTTAACCCAATGAATATTATATGCTCTGTTACAGTGAATCTGGTTTTGGGTTAGACCTAAAAATTCGGTTTACATGAGAAGTTTTCGAGCATGTTTGGTGGTGCAACTCACTTCAGTATTAATTTTGCCCTACTATTATATTGTTGCATCACAATCTAAACAGGCTCATCTCCCCGAATTAGACCTTGATCAGTTAGTTTAAAATCTCACATGTATTTGGCATTTTTTAATACTTGTAGCAATGTAAAGCTCAGTTGTATTGACATTGTTCTATGTCTTGTAATCAAGATAGTGGGTTCCTTTCTTTTTGATGAGCTATTGTAATGTATCCCGCCAGTTGATTTGCTTGTGGCTAACAATGTTGAAGGTTGAATGAATGATGAGCTACTGGAATAAGGGTTTATCGGTAATAAGTGTTTTTGTCAGTGTACTCAGAACGTGTTTGTTTTCACGTTTTAAACGTGAAAAATCACGTTTAAGGTGAAGCTTTTTCGCGTTTAAGGTGTACACGTTAAACGTGATTTTTTATTACGTTTAAAACGTGAAAACAAACACGAAACCATGCCTGCATAAAATTGGTTTTCTGCTAAAATCCTGGTTTGTTCTAAAATCCTGGTTTGTTCGATGTGTCAGTTAAGAGGCTTCAAAATTACCTAATTGGTAGGCACGTTTATATTTTGCATTCGTCTCCCATGTTGCTAAAAGTATAGCTAAGTATGATTGATTATTTTTTGCATCTAGTGAGGTGAATAAATCATGGAGAGTAGCTCTGAATTGCCCAAGAATTGATAAGCATGGTCTTGCATTGTTGGTTTACATGTCGTAGTTAGTTTTTCTAGGTCCGAAAATAAGAGTATCCAATATTTAGTGTTTTTTTCGTCAAATAAGTCGTATGTGAAGATATTATTATGTGCATGTTTAATAAACGTTTATTACATAGTGTTAACGGATATTGCAGCAAATGGATTCCTCTGTATCTGCGTTAATATCTAAAGCACAATATTTTTAGTAAGACAATTTATTTTTATATTTTTGGGTCCATCTGTGCATACCGGTTATGCTAGTCAATTTTTTCTGTGAACTATTGGGCCGAAGCCCTTGGATTATTTAGTTATTTTAATTTATTGTGAACTTGTGTGCCGAATTAAATATGTGCATACAATTAATGTCTTATAACGTATTTAAGTGAAGTAGCTCAAGGGATTTTTTTTATTTTTAATCTCTGATCATGTTCAATTTGAAATTATTAAAATGGCTTGGTGCATACTGCAACTGCTTAATTGTTTGAAGTGCGGTGCACGTTACATTGACATGAAACATGAGGGAGGTTTTTTTTATTTTCTTTTTTGTATTGGTCTAAACATATGTTTGGAGGGTTTTAAACAGACAAATAAAAATTAATGATCACATACATACAATGTTGATATATTTTGCTTAAAACTAACAATAATGTTTGTCTCACCGCATAAAGGGGATGTGAGATGGGGAAGAAAAAAATAAATTAAAAGTTATGTAATATATAAAATTAAAAAATTAAAAAATATATATATAAAAAAAGGAAGAAGGAAATAAAGATGTAAAATAAAGAAAGTGTTATTAAAAAAATAAAAATCCTAGTACCTTTGTTTTGAAAAAGAAAATGAAAGAGAATTACAAGAAAAGTATTAATACTTTGTCTAGTTTGAAAAAGAAAAAGAAGATAGAGAAAACAGAAAGAAAGAATATGAAAAAAAAATGTCAATGTGAAAGAAAATAAAGAGCTTGTTTATAAAAGTGAATTTATCTTATGAAGAGATTTATGTCTCTAATTAGAATATTATGTTGAACAAAAAAAAAAGTATAATCTTTAGAAACAAGGATAAAAAGGGTAATCAGTTCTCTGCTCTCATTTTCTTGGCTATTATGGAAGAGAAGAGATTTGATATGAGCTCTACATTAACTTCTTTTTTCCTCAGAATTTTTAGCGTTTAGCAAACCATAAAAGATATATAGAAAAGGTTGATAATGTTTGAGCCGATGTCTGCCTCTGCCATACTGTTTTTACTTATGACAGCTAACAAATTCCTTTTGGTGGATAGGACAATTAACAAAGATCCTCGGAATCGCGTTGGGCTACGACAGTGATGGTTGATTGAGTTCGGCTAGGCCTGGAGAGACAAAACGTACCCCTAAATAAGGGAAAACAATTATCATTTTACAAATAAAAATTGAATTAGATTTCATACTTTCAAAAATTCAATGTTAATTTCATTTCAGGAAACTGACATATACAATGCACTTAAGCATCTATAAATCTTAACCTACATAGGAATTAATAAAATCCATATAGAGTTACAACAATAACACTAACCACAACAATAATGAACATAACAACACCACAAACAAGGTAATAATATCAAGAGAAACTAAGAAAAGCTATAACTTAATTATCCTTACAAAACATCTCTTCTGTGATCTTAGCCAAAGACCTAAGATTGCAAGCTATGATAGTATTGGCAAAAGAGCATGTATCCTCGTCACTACTCCCTGCCGGAATGTCCACCACATACGACTCTATCGCCACCGTCTTCCCCCCATATTTCCCTTCCTCTTCATGCAAAGTAATCGTGGAACTATAATTCACAAGCCTGTGATCACCACCAATGATGCTAAACTTCAACACATGTTTCTCATCATCCAACTTGTCTAACCTCTCCACACTAACACCAGCAGGTAACCCTGATGTGACCATGACCTCACGCACGCTTCCAATGCCACCATCACCAGCAAGCAAGGTGCACTTCTTCACAAAAAGCTTGTATCCTTGTGGATGCTCAAAGCGCCTTATAAGGGACCATACTAGCGGTAAAGGTGCATCTATTGCTTGCACAAGGCTAGAACCACATTGGTTTGATGAGAGCTTGGAGACATGGTAGGTGTTTAGCATAGCTTTTGTTGGTGGAGTCTCTAAATTTTGCTTGCAAATCATTTACCTTCATCCACGGTTCTCACTAGCTATTGATTGTTTTGGGGGGTTCTGACTTCTAAAGGACCTTGTGTGTGTGTGTTTATATCTGTTTGTAGATTGTGAAGTAACTAGGTGACAAAGGTTTAGGTCTTTAGCTAAGGAGGGGAAGAATTGCAATGTTTTTTTCATGAGTAAGTTGAAGGTTGTAAGATCGAGGTTTGGCTTGTTTTGCGGTGTGGTCGGTTTGGCTGCTTTTACTTAAGTACTTTAGAGTATTTTAACGTTAGACATTAGATATTTTAGTCATAGTTATCCTTTGTTTTCCCTGTCGGTCAGGAAGGGAATGTCATCATTCATCAACCTGGAATCTTCCTTTTAATTGCCACTCAGATAACGCTTTTAATTATAAGTTATATAAGAATCTATTACATAAAGTCTATCAAATCACAGTAACAGCAGTAGATAAGGAAAAAACATTTACTAACCAAGAATATTTTACTTCATGCAAGTTTAAAGTAAAAGTCCCTAGGTGAAATTCGAGGTTGAACTACGGGTGAGCAAAACTATGATTTTAAACCAAGTAAAAAGGGTGAGAACGAAATTTAGAGGGTCACATCTTGGTGCTGACGCTAATAGAGTATAACACAATCGATTTTGGCCATGTCGATGGATGAACTAACAGAAAATGGTGTGCTAAGAGTTGGATAACACAAAATGACATTGTGGTGATGCAAGATGTGATGGTAAGCTTAAGGTGGCTAGTTTTATCTTTATGGGATGAGAATTAATGGGCACAAAAAAGGTTACACTTGCACACATTGACAATAGCGGCGTTGTTATTTTCTTGATATAATAAGGGCACTATGTTCTATAGTTCTATAGTGGTTAGGAGTCATTCCAAAGAGAGCCCATAGTTTATATTGAAACCATGGGCCATAAAATACTTGTCTAGACAAAGACAAAGGATGGCTTTCCATCGAAAAGCTGGAACTCCATGGTTGATCTCTTTCAGCAATGGATAAAAACAATCATCTATGAATAGTTAAATACCCTATTATTACAAATATCTATTTAACATTGTTATTTCTCTTTTCTTGTTATATCATATTTATATTTCTCTTTCTTCTATCTCTGTTTCTCTCAGCTTCCATGTCAAGATCTTTTTCTCTACTAATTATAGTTGTAGTAGTATTCTGCCTATGTTTAGGTAACTTGATCTTAAAAATTAATTATAGTATTAGATTAATTTAAGTCTAATCAAGTTAAAGAAAATTTAAAAAGAAAAATTAAATCAAGTTTTACATCTATGCAATGTACTAAAAACAAATTGTATAGCTAGAATAGTCTGCTATCCGACAACATTGCTTAATTAAGTAATAGTTTCTTGTGAAAAAATGGATCACAAAATATATTAATAATATACAAGGCAGCAAAAATTGAAATGACAGTTTTTGAAAATCAGCAAAATTAAAAATTTGTTAAGTTTTCTTTTTTTTACATTTTGTTATTTCTAAATTAAAATAAAAATGTTAAAAAAAAAAAATTATTGATATAAAAATCAATTCACTTGTATGGTATGACACGTTTGTAATTAGACAATAGCTTAAAGAAATTATACCGTAAGTGCTACTTATGTAGTAATTATTCAAATTCAATAGCAAGTTTTCCTTCTTAGTCTTGGATTCTTTTTTCTCTGACTTTTGTTCCAATTTTCTATCAGATCTAGCAACCTGTCAAGGCATTTCCCCTAGTTGCATATTGTTTCGTAAAATTTTTAATTCTTAATATTTCTAGTTGATTTTTCATTCCCGAACAAGTGAGGGATTGATTGCTTGATAGTTGATAGTCGAATCGCGCAATTTCGAGGATTATACTGCGTTTTTAGTTGTTCTTATTAATCTATACGCGGTAGAAATTTCAATCATACGTTGAAACCAGTGGTATAGGTACGATTTTGACATTGCAACGCCACTGAGTGCAGTGAGAATAGAAGCCGGAAATTAGTTTCACGTCCACTTCTGTAGTTGTTTCGTGAAATAGAGGTGTATACGCAGATCAAGTTTATTCTTTTTTTTTTTTTTTTTCGTAAAATTTTTAATTCTTAATATTTCTAGTTGATTTTTCATTCCCGAACAAGTGAGGGATTGATTGCTTGATAGTTGATAGTCGAATCGCGCAATTTCGAGGATTATACTGCGTTTTTAGTTGTTCTTATTAATCTATACGCGGTAGAAATTTCAATCATACGTTGAAACCAGTGGTATAGGTACGATTTTGACATTGCAACGCCACTGAGTGCAGTGAGAATAGAAGCCGGAAATTAGTTTCACGTCCACTTCTGTAGTTGTTTCGTGAAATAGAGGTGTATACGCAGATCAAGTTTATTTTTTTTTTTTTTTTTTATCCATAATTCACGGTGGTTGTTCTGGACTATCTGTAAACAGCAAAATTACATGCACCATTTGGTGTTCAATCTTTTTTTTCTTTTCTAAATAAAGCTAACCGCCGTTTTAATTATTCTATCGGAAAGCTAACTCAAGGAATCACCATATTTGCCACCAACGGTATATGTTAAATACTTACTCCATTGTTACACACTTCAAAGTTCAAAGTTCATTCTGTTCTTTTGAAATTAAAAGCGAAATGATGGAAACACTCCCACAACCTTGAGGACACGCTTGATTTTTAGGACTATGGGGAAGGGGAAGGGGGAGCTAGTTAGCATAGTTGGAATATTAGTTACTTAGAGTTAGTGACATAAATAAATAGGACTGAAGGGGAGAGAATTCGGGGAGATCAGTTATCACATGTAAATTTACCACTAGCTCTTAGAGAAAGGAGAGATCCCCAGGGGGGAAAACCGAAGAAAGCTCTCTCTCCAATTTTCTGTTCTTTCCATTCAATTCAATAAAATATTTCTTTCCCTTCCTTTCTATTACTAATTCCCAACGTCACACACACAGACAATATAGGTTATAGGCCTGAGCATCGGTCGGCCACGGTCAGTTTCGGACCAAAATTCTTAAAATCGTCTAAAACCGATCAAGAAAAATCAGGGGTCATCTCTGACCAACCAAGAACTCGAGTTTTGGCGGGTTCAATCCATGCGGGTTACGGGTTCATCGTTTTGAGAAGCTTCCTCTAGCGTCTCGTGCCGCTATTCATCGTCACCTTTTGCCGGTCTCCGTCGCTACTTCATTTGGCAGAAATCACAGAGTTTCAGATCTCCGCATCACTTCTCAGCACGGTGGCCATGGCAGGGAAAGGTTGAAGAGAAAAGGATGTTTACGGAGTAAAAAAGAAGAAGAAAGAAGACGGAGTGAAGAAGAAGAAGGAAGAAGCAGAAGAAAGAAGACGGAGTGAAGAAGAAGAAGAAAGAAGACGAAGTAAAAGACGAAACGGTAAAGACGGAGAAGATAATCAGTGAAGACGAAGAAGATAAACGGTCGGATTCGGGTACATCGGATGAGAAAATTCCAACACCGAATCCGACTGTTCAAACCCGTTTGAACCCGAAAGTTGCTTCCGAAAAAATCCGAAATACCTGAGAATCAATCCGCTTCACCCAATTTAACCGTCAGTCTAGTCAGTTTCGGATCGGCCGGAAATTTTTGCCCAGGCCTAATAGGTTATGCAGCAAACATAATTCTTTCTTTTACACAAAGGAAACACCAAAATTCATACAACGAGAATAATTAGGAACAACTGACATGGGGTACTATAGCAACTCCTATAATATAGAATATTTGTATTCTGAATTTTGACTACTGACTACCCAAAATTGTGGGGGTAAAAATAGACTTGATAATTGAAGTATTTGTTTCTAAGCAAAAAAGATTGATAACTTATTTTAAAGTTAGTAAGCATGTGAATGACTTGAAAGCTACTTACTATAAACATCTCTATTCTAAACAAGTCCACTGTCCACATCTATTTTATAACCTAGGCTTGCAGTGCTAAGGGGAGACTAAATTGAGCTAAGGGTATTAGCTCATTCTTATATACAGCAAAATTCTACATGGAGAACAAAACCTGATTTTATCAAGGAAAGGATAAGAAAAGTAGGATTTCAAGCTGAAGGTTACAATCTTATTTTATACAAGATGAAATTTAATTATGACAAATGAATAATAATACATTACAATTTGGTAAATTACAGATACCCTTTAAGGTTAACTCTTCTGATTTCTAATGAACTATTAATAACCAGCATGTTTTAATATGATTAAATTAGCAGTAAATCAGCTATTTTCCAAAAGCTCTCTCAGAAAGACTTTACTTAATTGTTTGGTAAATTGTTCGGTAACTGCATTCTTGATTTTTCAATGTAACTTTCCGGTTTTTAACTATTCTTATCTAACACTCTAACTCTAATCAGGAGAACTAATAAAGAATCCTAAATCCCTTACAAAGTACAAACAATTACCTATTTGATAATTATACTATGATTGTTTCCCCTAACTTGAGATTTTTAAAACAAGATAGTACTATGAGATCAATGTAGAGAGATAAACTGCCATCTTCAACTATTTAACTAATAAAAAGTTTCCATAAACTATTGGCATGCTAATTAACACAACCATTAATTTAGCTTTGCTAGTAGTTCACCTAAAATAGATCAAAGCATGTCAACCTACATAAAGCTACATGGAAAATCTTAGCTTTTTGCCACCTTAGATTTCAAACATCCACCAACTTATTCATAAGAATGCCCATTATTCAGATATCTTGGCTATCTGATATTTTGGATAGGAGATTTGACATGGTATGGACATATGGAGTTTACATTTTCTTTTTCAAACATGAAAAGAAATGGATTTTGATTATAGAGTTCAAAAAGAAAACAGATAGCTAAAAATGTTGCATATCCACATGTTGGCATCCATAATTCACCATTGTACCAGACTATTCAACCTTCCAGAGCACCTCACTGTGGTGAATTATATATAATCTGTTACTTGAAGCTTGTATGAATGTGCAAAATATCAATTAAATACTCCACTTTTCACTCTGTAAAAGAAGAAAAAATAAAATAAAATTTTAGATATGATAGACAAATATAGAAATTCGAGACAATAGTACAAGGGCACATTCTGGACCATAGTAAAAACAGCAACAAAAAAAAAGTTCAATTTCCACACAATTTAGTTTTGACATGCATGCACATCGCTAAGGCATCCAGAATTGAGAAAATGCACCATGTGGATGACTCATGACTCAACTCCAATATTATGAACATCTAACTTCATTATCTTGCTTCTTGCCCACGATGAAATTTCCAACAATTCATTTTAGGTTGCATTTCGTTCTTAACAAACTAAACACAAAATGGAAGTTGAAAACTAAATATTAACATAAACGAAAATCAAGGCCTCCAAAACATAATTATCAGATCAATGTTAATATCAATAGAAACAGTTGGCCACTTGAAGAGCAAGTAGTGAAACCCAGTCCACTCAATGAAGAAAATAGAGAAATTTATGAATCTGATTAAGTGTAAAAACAGAAGGCACACACACACACAGAGAAAAGATCTAAAAGCATCTATAATGGTACAACCATGGTGGACTTGTTTAACTCACTTTTGGTAGGCTCTACAATGCCACGTGCAATTTAAGAACTTCAACAAGTTTACTCTCTAATGATGCACTCTTTAATAACTTACAATAGGTCCTATAATCATTTCACAATTACTAAGAACTAGTAAGAACCGCTCCTTATATTAGCACTTGGTTCTTATACAAGTGTATTCACTTCATTACTCCAAAGATGAAACTGTATATGAAGTGACTCTTCAGTTTATATGAAGTGACTCTTCAGTTTAATAAATCCTAAACCCTAAACCCTAAACTTCCATTGAAGATGCTCAAAGAAGTAAACAAGACAAAATAATTTCCTCGAGCAAGCAGCATGCCAATCGATGGTGGCTTCGTCATTTACAAACTCCAAAACAAAATTTGAAGTCTGTCTGGATACAAGTTTAGAAGTATTTTTGATTGCTTATCTACCGAAAGTAAAGAGCTTTTTTTCTGGTAGAGAAACTCTCTTTGTATCCAAAGAGACTCATAGTCACACCTTTATTTCCATTAAACAACAAAGAACGGGAGACCAACAACTCAGAAACAAGGAAACAAACGAAACACAAAAGCAGCAGCAAAATTCAAATGACATGAGGAATTATGAGGAACAAATAAACTGGATCAAGATGAATATAGAAGACATGGTATAAATAAATGTTAGTTGGCGGTGATAGAAGAAGTACCTTAAGGTGCCCTAGGATCAGTGCCATGCTGCCAGACATAAACAAGCTCATCCCAACCAGTGCTAGCCATGAGACCCTCGACGAGCACACTCATGTCCACTCCAACAGCGAATTCAGTGTGGTGATCATACCTACTGAGAAGCGCATCCTCGACCAAGAAGTCCCACACGCAGACGGTCATGTCATAGGAGCAAGAGACCAACATGTTGCGGACGTGGGGGGAGAATTTAACCTTCCGAACAGCATAGCCATGGCCATTCAAGACACTGACGGGAACCCTGTAGTTGCGGACATCCCAAACCTTGACAGTCTTGTCAACGGAGGCGGTGGCAATGACGCACTCGTCGTACTTGTTCCAGTCGCAGGAGAGGATCTCGAAGTCGTGGGCGGGGAGGATCATGGTGGAGGAGGGCTCGCGGACGTCCCAGACGCGGAGGGTGCAGTCGCCGGAGGCGGAGGCGAAGACGTCGGCGTGGCGGGGGTTCCAGACGGAGGAGTAGACGCAGTAGGCGTGCTCCTTGAAGGTGCGGAGGCTGGTGGGGCGGTCGAGGGTCCAGAGCTTGACGGAGTCGTCCCAGGAGGAGGAGAGGAAGGAGTCGCGGCGGACGGGGTTGTAGTCGGCCGAGTGGACCTCGCGGGAGTGCTCGTGGAAGGACCGGATGGGGTTCTGCCCGGGGGGGAGGCCAAGGTCGTAGAGCTTCACGGACCCGTCGGCCACGGCGGCGATCACGATCGAGTCGTGGGACTCCGACCAGGCCACGTCGTAGACGCCGTCCGCCGTGTCGAATGCGGCCAGCTCCGCCATTGGGAGGGAGGGGTCCGGAGAGAGGTCCAGCACGTGGAGGCGGCCGTTCCCCAGGATGCCGAAGTTCTGGGCCGTCGCCACCGCCAGACGGTTCTCGTAGAAGGGGCTGAACTTCACCGAGTACCCGTTGAACGGGGTTTTGAAAACCGGCATGGTCAACGCACAAGAGTGTGATTCAGTTATGCGATTTCGGAAATTGGTTCAATTTCTCATTTGGAAGAAGAAGAAGATGATGATGATGCAAGCAACACTTTTGGTTTTGGCTAGGTTCATCCTTCTGCCTGCGTTTTCCACTTTATGTTTTCACAAAATACAAAATAGATAAACAACCTTCTTCCTTTTCTTCCCTTAATTTAAATAAATATTAACATTTAATTACCCTCTTCTTTTTTTTATTTTTATGAAATTTATCTTTTCGCTTTTATAATCAATCTTCTATTTGTCTATTACGTATTCTTTTAGTTTCTTAAGTTTTTTAAAATTTATTTTTTAATCTCAAAGGGATTCAAAAATAAAATTTTTTAGAATAAAACGATAATTTATAATTGAAACTGTCTTTAATCGTAAATTATATTATATTGGCCCGAAGAGTTTGAATTTTTTAAGGAAGGAAGAGTCATCAGCAAAGCCTCATCGAAGATTTGAATCCTGTGAAAATTGAGAACAATTTTATCGTGTTTGATGAACAAATTATTTATGAATATGAAGAAATAGATTGTTTAAGATTCTAAATCTTATCTATACAAATAATTTATTTTAATTTGTCAAAAAAAATAATTAATTTACTTTTGTTTCTACGTATTTGTTTAATTAATTAATTCTTTGTTTCTAAATACAAAGAACAAATACTTTATTAATTGAAATTAATGAAATTATAATTAATAATGTGATTATTTGAAAATTTATTTTAAAAATATCTATATAATTAAAATATATTTATGGTGATTATATTTAATGGCATTATTCAAAAATTAAAGAATAATTTTTCAATCAATGACTTATAGTGTTAATTGTATAATAAATACATACTCTTTCTAAACTTATTTATATAAATAAAAATAAATATTTTTTTATAAATTAAAAAAATTTATTAAATGTATTTAATTTTCATAATTTCACATAAAAATATATATATTATTTTTTAAAACATCCTTAACCACATTCATGATAATAGATAGTACTCTCACTTATTATTATAGAAATGTTTTTGGATTAAGAACATTGTATAAAATCAATTTAGTTGAAATTTGTTTATATTTTAATCCAATAAAAATTTAAACATATTTTTGTGTATGTGTGTGTTCAAAGGGAGTACTACACTTATATATATATATAATTCCTTGATAGACTCATAATATATTAAGGATATCATATATGTAGAGAAAAGATAAATACTAAAAGGAATGTTGAATAGTGCATATCAAATATTGACACATTTTTCGCAATGAAGTAATAACGTTAATAAAATGAAGTAGAAGAGCAGTCAGATGGAATACTAAAAAGTTTTATATCGGTTCGTTTCAACCACTGAGATTACATTTAATTCTAGATTCAATCAAATTGAGTATTACTATTTTTAAATAAAAGTTTTAACAAGACACTTCTGGCTCAATCCTAAATATTTTTTTACTTGACTCTTCAAACAATTTCCCAAATATTTTTTTAACAACAAGTATATCTAAACTTAATAACCAAATATTCTTTTTCAATCTAGTATCTCCAGGCTCAAGAATAAGTATTGTTTTTCAGACAAACATTCCTAAGCTGGACCTTATAACAATGATTATAAGGGATTGTTAGGCCTACTCGAAAACCGCATAGGTCGAAATAGTATATAAGATTTCTCAAAAAATATATTAGGAAACCAACACCTGCCAATAACAGATGTTCGAGATCGAAAAAAATTATTTCGAGATTGAACAATGATGAGCTCGAGATTATGGTCATATTAAGGTAGTTATCAAGCCCAGGTCGAGAAGTCAATACACGTGGGAGAACGGTTATGAGAAGTTACAATTTAGAGCCACGTACAAGCATAGTGGATAGCAGTTATCCGATAATGACCTACGTGCACGAAGTTAACCGTTGGTAATTGGCTCTATAAATTCAAAGGTCCTGCGTCGATACAGAGGTTGAAAAACTCATACTAAGACTAGAATCTGAGGCACTCTCTGCCTGCACATATAGCTTTCGTGCAAGGAATCGTTTTTGAGTATGGTTATTTCTCGGCCACTTTTCTTTTCTCTTTTTAGGAGTAGAAGTAAAATAGTTTTCTTGTTCTTCTTTTAATCACGTAGTGTATTCGTATACTTTGATCAATATGCTTTCATGTGTAATGTAATTTGACCATTGTACGAAATTAACTATGATTTGCATTGCTAATATACGTGTTGTTCATTTTGTGCATTTAAGTATTTACATACATGAACATTATTGCTTGATAATACTTAACGAATATTTAGAGACAAGCAATTATTGAAAGTTTCCACTCTGTCACTTTTCTTTGCATTGTGTTTCAAATCCATAAGAACGTTAACATACCTAAATTGAAACATTGATTGTGCTAGTCCGAGTAAAAAGAATCCTTAAAACAAATTTCACCGTAAACAGGGATACAGATAAGTTGTGTTTGTCTCAATAAAACGTTTATAAACTAGTTATAGAGTAATGGATGTTTAGAAGAAATGATAGATTTTACAAAGAGCGAGTTTCTATACAAATGTATCTTTTTAAATTAGCATTTATGTCTTTCTTGTGCTTTGAAACTTCTTATGTAGTAGCTCAGAGAAGATGACCATTGTGATACTTTGAGTCTAGCTGACAAGTTTGTTTCATCTATCTTCATCATCTTTTCTTATGATGCTAAGTGACCTTTCAACTCATTTAATGTGAGTCTTAAATGTATTTCACTAAATGGTACCTCTTATATGATCAAGGAGACCATTTATTAGTTTTTCATACTAAACAAAACTTACAAAAGCAATGTCAGTACAAAGTAGTTATAATAGTGACTTTATCTACTTTTCTATGTGATTTTAGGGATTTAGTTTTGATTAAAAACATGATTTTTCTCTTTAACATATTTGTGAATTTTGAGATGGTTTTTTGATTTAATATGTTAATGAATGAAGCATTCAAAGTGAACTTTGACATTAGTCTTAATAAATGACAAATATTTATTATACATGAGAAAGATTGTATGTTTCGTTTAACTTTCAATGTCTTACAAACGATCTATGTCTTACGTTTCATTTGATAAGTTTTTCAAAGATATGTTCAAAGACGTTTTTGCAGACAATTCCTTTTTATAAAACCGTTTTCTTTGTTAGCATTGAAGTATAAAAGGTAATCTCTAATTAATAAAAATAGTCTTGTATTTCTTATAATTATGACCAAAATAAAATACTCATTTGTTTCTTATATATAAATATTAAGATAGTAATAAGTATTTCAAAATAGTACTGAGATTGTTATTTTTTTTATCCATATAATAAGAAAATAAATAAGGTTGATTAGATAAAATTCAATTATCATTCAATTTTAAGTTATAGATTCAAACCATTTTGAATGGTCAATATGGTTTTACACTGATTAAACACGGTTGTGATGACTCAAAATTCATTTTTTTTATACATCAAAATGGTAGATTGAAGATGAACCCATATGACTACCGAATAGAAGTCATTTGCATGTTAAGAATCCTCGGATCAAGTACCATTGTCCACTTAATAATTAGTCGAAGTTCACTAGTACTTAACTTAATCCAGGACTTTATTTGTCAAACTAAAAATTAGCAGAAGAATTTCACCTCTAACACTAAAAAATCTTCTTGAGTAGTTATGTCAACTAAAGTAAAATTTTATTGTCACAAGAAATGTCTAACTCATGTCAAAAGAAACACAAGCTCAAACCAGATTATATCTTATAAGTCAAAAATAAAAAATAAAAAAATCAATTAAGTCAAATGCTTTAAATTTATCCAGACATAAAAAAGATAGAGATTAATTTTAATATAATATTCGCATAAAAAAATATATTCTGAATGTATTAAAAATTATTATATATATATATTAATTATTACAAAAACAATCTTCTCATGATTTATTGTTAGTTATAATAAAATAATTATTTAAGTTATTTACAACACATCTTATAAAAATAGATTTAATAATTAAATAGTAATGGCCACATTCGTGGTTCTTTTGGGCCATGCGCTATTACATTTCTTTTTTCCGTCTTAGCTTGGGTTATTCAGATGTTTAGCAAATGAATATAAATACAGGTTGACGATATATACACCTCCTTTTTTTTATAAGTACACCTCCTTTTCAAAAAAAATAATTAAAATTTTAAAATATTTTTATTTATTTTTTTAATTTTACATTTACAATATTTAATTTAGTACTTTTTTTTACAGATATTTCTTTTTTCCTTTTTTTTTTCTAATTTTTACATGTACCCCGTTATCTTTCTTTCACCCCACCTATTTTGATAGCATGTAAAAATTGAAAGAGAAAAAAAAATGTGTGAATAAAAAGAAAAAAGTAGAAAATTGAAAGTTAAAGGTATAAATTAAAATATATATATATAATATTTTATAATTTTTTTAAAAAAATAAAGAAGGTGTATTTATAAAAAAAACAGGAGGTGTATATATCATGAGCCTTCCGAAAAGAACTTTCCGTCAGAATAATTACGGAAAGTACTTTCCAGAACACTAAAATTACTATTCCGGAAATAACTTTCTGTCAAAATAATTATGAAAAATACTTTCCGTAACACTAGAATTACTATTGCGAAATTTTTTTTCCGGAATATTAATAGTGTTTGTATTTGTTACCATAATTTCAGAAAGAACTTTCCGCAATAGTAATTTTAGTGTTACGAAAAGTACTTTCCAGAATTATTCCGACAGAAAGTTATTTCCGGAATAGTAATTTTAATATTCCGGAAAGAACTTTCCATAACTATGTACAAATACACCTCCAAAAAAATTTTCCAGGATAATTTTTTTTTATATTTCAAATAATATTAAAGATAATTTAAGAATTTAATATTTTTTTTAAAAAGGGGGTGTATGTATAAAAAAATGGAGGTGTATATATCATCAGCCATAAATACATGTAACGTAAAGCATGCGCAGCACCAAGTGGAGGCCCGTTTTACATTAAAATATTCAATTGCGGGCTTTAATTTTTGCACACCTGTTTTTTATCTACCCACACTCCAAGTTTTGGATTACAGAAATATGTTTTCCTTTTATTAGTTTCTATTAAAATAAAAAATATAACCAATTATTTTTATATTAAAATACTTAACTCAACT